GTCCTTTTGCTCCCTGTACCCATGTAGAAGGTTGTATGCAGAAGTAACACCCCAAAATTCTCAAGACTAACTGACACTCTTTTCCATGACCTTACCTTTACTGCCTCTCAAGACATAGTTAAAAGGTCACCTCTATTCACCTTTTTTGACCCACTAGCCCAAACCAGCTAGTCCTTGTCCTCATGTAGAACTTTCCACTTGTTTTGTCTTGATTTGGTCATGGAAAAGAGATTCTTGAGGCTCAAAGCCTTAAGTAGGAGGACAGTAGTAAAGACATTGGCTAATGAATGGGGAGTTTTATTTTGGATAGCAGGCCTCAGTGCCCGAAAGCTCCTGCTACAACTGGTAGCCCTTTGGGGAAATTACTTCTTCCACTGGTTTGTGAAGCAACTGGCCTATAGGACAAACTGGCTCTGGCAGAATAAAGCCAAAGTAGGAGATTGAACCCAATGACTTCATTCATACTATTTCAGAATCTCTATTCTCCATCAAAGAAGAAATTTGGATATTTTAGTACATAAAAGCCATATTGCCCAGGTAACCTTACTCAAAATAGGAGCTGTTTTCTATGTGAACAAAATCACTGACCTTGTAAGAATGCAGTTTTAGTAGTGACAGTTGTTAAAATGGGGCCTGAGCACCCTTGAGTCAGCTAGAAAAACTCAAATAACATCAACTATGTAGGCAAAATGGTTTCCATTGAATATGCTTTTTAAAAAGGCTTAGGATCAGCCCTGGCCGGTTTGGCTCAGCGGTTAGAGTGTCGGCCTGCGGTCCTGAGAGACCCGGGTTCGGTTCCCGCTAAGGGCACATACCTCGGTTGCAGTTTCTCCCCCGCCCTGGTCGGTTGTGCGGGTGGCAGCCACTCGATGTGTTCCTTCACATCGATGTTTCTCTCTCTCTCTCTGTTCCTCTCTCTCCCTCGTACTCTACCTGAACAAAAGATGGAAAAATGTCCTCGGGTGAGGATTAAAAAAATAATAATAATAAATAAATAAATAAATAAATAAATAAATAAAAAGGCTTAGGATCCAATTAATTCAATGCCCACTGTCTGGTCAGCAGAATAAATATCAATAGAATAAAATTCAGTGGTTTTATCCATCAACTTCTTTTTTTTTTAACCAAATACTTTTCTTAGTCCATCTCTAGGTTTAGAGGGGTAAAGATCTTAAAATTTTGTGATTTAACAAAAACATTTTATTGAGTCAATGCCCTTTACAACAAACACATTCTGGCATGTTACTCTTGGTAAGTCTACAATATTGATAATCTGTCAAAGCCATTCTCTTCACTTGTGCATATTATACTGAAAATGGCAGCTTTGACGTCAAACATCCGCCTGTAAATTCATTAGCTAAACTGTTGTAAACAAACCACATTCACTTATTTTTCCTTAGAATTGTAAATTCAAAACACGGTGTTAATGGCAGTTCATTTTCCTGTTCCTCTTTCTAAAACTTTCTCTTCTTCTAAGACAGTGGAAAACACTCCACTAAAAGCTTTGTCGTCGTTTTCTTTATTCTTTAAAGAGAGTAAATATTCCTCAAGTTTCTATATCCCATTCTCATTTACTAACCCAACTCCAGTTTTCTTGTCTGCACATGACCATGAAGTCCAAATATCAAGTGCCCCAATCCCAGTCTCTTATACAAAGATTTGCAGATAGCATCTGCCCTTCAAACCTCAACCCCCAACCAAACTCATCTGTTCTCTCCCCATACTCCAATATTTCTACTGCTAGCCATCCTCCCAGCCACAAAGACTCTAAGGTTTAGCTTTTATCGCATCCCATATCCTCTAACACTTTACTGCTCAAAATGTCCAACAATCAGTAGAGCAGCATGTGTCAGCATCACCTGGAAGGAAGTTCATTAAAAAAGCAGAATTTCAGGTCCCACCCCAGCTATACTGAATCAGAATCCTCAATTTAGCAAAATTCCTGGGTGATTCATTAATACCTGAGGACAATTGCTCTAACTTTCTCTTATCCACTGTACCTTAGCATAGGTGGGTACTCAGGTCCTTGTTCAATATCTGCCTGTGTATATAACTGTTGCAACTGAATATCCTATCCTCTGGCTTTCTATACATTCCTTTTTACAGTTCTCTTCTGCATCATTCATTTCTCCTTCTCCACTGATCATCTCCAACAAGATGCATGTCCTGCAAATGGTTTATGAGTTGTCCTCAGAGAAACCAACAAACTGGACTGATCTGAGCAGGACTTCATTCTAAGGACACAGCAGGTGGTAGCACCATCTTGGAATTTATTAGCATTGTAGGCAGTATTGTCCCACAAACTCAAGCTTACTACAACCACCGCTACACCAGTGTTTCTCCTGACCCCCACTTACTTTCATTCTAGCTCCAGATTGCCCATCTGAGTGGGGGACATCTGACTGGTGAAGCCTGCATCATGTGCCCACACCCTACCTGATATAGGGAGGCTGGGAAAGTGAGAATCTGGCATTTTCAGCTTCTACAATAGAAAAACAGTCTCTGCCTCCCACCAAGTGTCCTAATTCTATAATTCATAATTTAGGAAATTTTAGAAGTCCCCTAAAAATAAAAGGGTTCAGATGTTACCGAGGCCCCCCCAAAATAACACACTTCTACCACACTCAAGTATTTTATCTTTCAAAAATACTCATTTTTCCTAAAAGCAAAATTCCTAAAAGAGATTGTCCATGCTTGTCTTTATTTCCTCACATCCTATTCACTTTCATCCCAGTCCAACCTAGTTTATGTCCTCAAAAAACATGATATTCCCAAATCCAGTGTACACCTCTTGGCTCTCGTCTGGTTGGACTTTTCAACCTAATGGGTCGTCTCCTGGACTCTCTCCTTTCTGATTGCCTCAGCTTCCTTGCTGGCTCTCTCCCTCCGCTCATTCTCCGTGTGTTTATTTTCATAGCTCTGTCCCTGCTTCTCTTCTTCAACTCCATTCACTCCCTGTTATCATTCAATCCCAATCTTTTTCCTGCCTTAAAATTATTAGAATTCTTAAATCTGATCATTCCTGCCTCTAGAAAAATAGTTATAGGCTGGTGACCTCTTTGCTGAGCTCTATAGAGTTTTGCATTTCCAGTTGCCTACTTCCCACTTCTACATGGATGTCTAACACACCTGTTAATATGCCCAAAAGACAACTCTCAAGTTTCCTCTCTTCACTGCTTCCTTATGAAGTCTCTCCAGCTTCAATATATGGTTCCATCATTCACCTACTGTTTAAGCCAAAGACCTAAGAATCATCCTTGATTTATTTTTGTCATACTCTCTTATCCCATTTATCCACAAGTTCTCCATTTTTTTTACCTGCAACTTGCATCCCACAGTCATTTACAGCTCTTCATTCTGCAAGTACCACCCAAGCCTAAGCCATCATCCTCCCCTGCTTGCCCATTTCTTCCTCTCCCGCCTCATTTCAAAGAGCTGTCCTGATACCCACACAACTTTGACTCCATTGGTTTCCTTCCTATTCCTCAAATAAGCCTAGCTCTTTGCCATCCCAAGCTTTTGCTTTAATTTATTCTGGCTGGAATACTAATTCTTACTCCAACGTATCCCATGTCCGATTCCACCTTATTCTTCCACACCCCTGCCTTGATTTTTACCTTCTCTAAAATAGCCCACCACTTACTTTATCACATCATATTTCTTAATTTTACTTTATAACGCATTTAAGACATTTTGTAATTACCTGTTTACTAGTTTAGAGTGTTTCTCCCCTGACTAGAAGAAGATAAGTTTGATCAAAGCAGAGACTGTGTCTTTTTAATGCATGGCTGTGTCCCTTGAACTAAAAAGAGGAATGTCTAATGCATAGTAGACATTCAACAAATATTTGTTAAATAATTGAATGGATAACTAAATGACTAACTGATGTGAAATTCCATTGAGATTTCCTAACCTTTTCATTTCTGCCCAAATGATTCACCGTTAGTCATCAGCGATAGCTTGATAGCTAGTTATCCAAACAAGTTTATTTGATTAGTTTTGATTGTGTCAGAAGTTATTAATCATTTTTTTTATGATGATAAGGAAGAAGATGATGATGATGATGCTTTGGGAAGACAGTTGGGAAAACAAGGCAATAATGCTGACATTTTCAGAATAGCTCCAGGTTGATGTGGTCAGTATCTAAACAAATGGTGTCCACCCATCAGTCATCTCTACTTCCTGCAATTGAATCTTCAAGAAGGAGTCATCAGAAACTCTCACTCTTGACGACTGACATGAAGTCCCTGAGGACTCCCCAACTCCACTTAAGTGTCAAGGAGGGGTCCTTGACTCTAAGATTTTAAAAGCCTCACTTTCAGAACAAGAGTGGAAAACTCACAGATAAAGTTATAGTTATTGCAGGTTCTGGAAAGGAGCAGAACATGAAGGCAAGTAATGATTTTATTTACTTAAGACTTGAAAACTATTTTACGAAAAGCTTTATAGCTTTTTACTGTTGTATGTTTAATAAGTATTTAAGAGGCTATTTAAACAACATGCCTTAATGTATTAGAATCATTTGATATTACTAAGAAATAAAATTCACTTATTCACACAATTCCTCATTTGAGTTAAATAATGAAAATATATTTCTTTCTTTTTTTTTTTTTAAGAGAACTCTTGTGGATTAACTAAAAGGCAAAAAGCAAGGGGTCTGTGGTTGTTCGAGCCTCAAGAGAGAAAACAGAAGATGCTACAGGGACAGAAATGACTTTCTTTGATTGATGGTTTCTTGTAGGTACTCAGCAGCCTTGCGGCAACAGCCTTGGCTCTTTTCCTGGTGTTTTCTCTCTTGGGAAACTCCACCAGTGCACCACAGGTAATTGCACACACAAGACTGAAGCTCTTGAATGTTCTTTCCTTTCTTTTCTCCGCTCCCCTCCCCCCCTTTTTTTCTTTTCTTTACCATTCTTCCCTTCCCTTCTTTTCTTTTCTTTTTTTTTTTTTTCTAATGGAGGACTGCACGGCAATGTCTTATTAACTGCTTTTCTCTTCTCCCGGGATTGTAGAGACTCTTTGAGAGAAGGAACTGGACTCCTCAAGCTATGCTTTACCTGAAGGGTGCACGTACGTTCCGAATGCTTTGCTCTTCCTACAGCAATAAAGGGAGGTCCGGGGGGGGGGGGGGGGCGTGCATGAGTCCGTGGAATAGATGGAGAATTGCGGGGAGACAGTAATATCAAGTTTGCTCCCTTCATCCCGGTCTCAGTCAGTCTGAGTAAAAGGACGGCGGGGGTGAACGGTGGTGCTCGAGGGGTGCGCTGCCATCCTAAGGCAGGCTGCTGGCTCTTGCCACGAAGGACGACTCTGGGGTCGCCTGGGCAACTTCACACTGGCTGGCGACCCGGCTGGCCCCCGAAGCCCAGCCACGGCTGCGTGCAGGGGCGCGCGGGTAGGGCAGGACCGTCCTCCGGTCTCTCCGTCCGCGCCGGGCTCAGCCCGGGGTTGCGCGCCGAGCGGCCGAGAGCCGGCAGCCCAGAGCCGGCAGCCCAGAGCCGGCAGCCCAGAGCCGGCAGCCCAGAGCCGGCAGCCCAGCGCGGGGCTCGCCGGGGGCGTCTCCGCGGCCGCCGAGCCCCGCTTCCCGGCCCCGAGGCAGGCGGCGCGGGGGACTGCGGCTGAACCCCGATCGTCCCGGGCCGGGGCGCGCTGAGCCCCGTGTCTCGTCTCTGCAGAGGGGCGCCGCTTCATCTCGGACCAGAGTCAGAGGAAGGAGCTCTCCGACCGGCCGCCCCCGGGTGAGTGACGGAGCGAGCGCGGGGCCGACCCGGCGAATTAGAGCGGACCGGGCGCTCCGCCCGCCGCGGGACCAAAGCATCCTCCACGCGGGGGGACGCGCGGGGCCGCCCGGGGAGCCCGTCCTGGCCCAGCCCAAGTGGGCGAGCGCCAGAATGCCAGAGCTGGGGGCGCTCGAGGCCCCTCCCCAGACTGGGGCTGCGACACCGCAAGTGTGACTTGGTCAAAAATGCTGAAAATGGGCCTCTGGGCAGCCGCAGTGCACAAATCCCGGGGGAGTTATCCAAGGCCTGGGGTTCAGCTCCGGGGGGGAGGAGAGGTCGGGAGAACTGTACAGCTGCCTCCAAAATGTGCCTCCCCATATGACAGGACCTTTACACAGTTTCCTCTTTTTTTTTTTTTTTTATCCTCACCTGAGGACATTTTTGCATTTTTTTGTTCAGATAGAGAGGAAGAGAGAGAGAGAGAGAGAGAGAGAGAGAGAGAGAGAGAGAGAGAGAGAAACATCGACGTGAAAGGGACACATCCAGTGGCTGCCACCCGCAGCCAGGGTGGGGGACAAACTGCAACCGAGGTACGTGCCCTTAGCGGGAACCGAACCCGGGTCTCTCTGGACTGTGGGCCGACTCTCTACCAGGGCCACAGTTTCTCTTAAATACGTTTTTTATTATTACTAAGATAGTGATTTAACCAGAAACTTCAAACATATGCCTCTTATATTACTAGAAAAGCTATCAGAATGTTCCAAACCAGAAATAGTTAATCAATGGAGGCTAAAAAGAATACCAGGGGCTGTTATTTTTGATAATTAACCTTCCCATGCTACTGGGTTATAAAAATACAATTAATTTTGATAATATGTAAAGATTGAAATGCTAAAATTAAAAAGTATATTTATTTTGAAAAATACTAAACTCTTTGTTCAGCACATAGTAGGTGCTTAACAGATATTAGTTTACCTTCTTCAAGATTGCAGTGTAATTAGGCTTATTTACTTTACCAGGGTAACCTGTGTTTTCCCACTTCAGTGGCTCCCAAATTAAAAATTATGGTTTGTGTTGAATCAGGATGTTTTGTCTTCTGTCAACTTAGATTTGAAGTAATTTTGAATATTTAGCAGATACTGCTTCAGTCAAATAAAGGCCTTACATTTGGCCAAGAACGTAGATTATCTCAAGCTGCTTTGGGAGGAATGAGAGAGGAGATTGTCCAGGCTCCAAGCAGGATCACATCTGAACCTTTCTAGACATCCCATATTAAACTCTGAAGGAGGAAATTTCTTATGGGCTCTTTGTTTTAATCCTCTTTGCTTTCATGAAATTCTGTGTTATATATAGCTTAAATTCTCTTCCACACCCTGTAATATACAACATAACCATTTGTAAGTAATGCCCAAGGGAAGTGTGAATGTTTCCATTTATAAAAAATTAGTCTGTGTGTAGGGACCCTTTGCTGAGGGATCAAAAATCTAGTTCATAGAGGTATTTCTAGTGTTGTAGCATAATGGGATAGGATTATATGAATATTTAAATGCTAATAAGCTCTGTTTACATTTTTGTTTCTCCAGAAAGACGAAGTCCAGATGCCCAACTACTAACTCTTCCAGAGGCAGCAGCTCTGCTGTTAGCTTCCTTGCAGAAACCACAAGAAGGTACAAGTATAGTGACCTCTTTCAACTGCAGGACAGAAAAGCTTTGATTACTTTTGGGATTCTGTGTTGAGTACAACAAAGTGGCTTTTATTTATTCAAGTTTTTAAAAATAATTATCATTTGCCCCCACCCCAGAAATTCACAGAATGTTGATTATTTAAAGACCAGTATATATCTCATTAAAGTGAGTCCTAAAAACATAAAAAACATTTCCTTGGTGAGACTGGGGAATTTCATATGAATCCCACAATTCAAAGCCTATCATAACCTTTATTTCTCTTAGAACTTTAGAACTGAAAAAGCTTAAAGTCCAACTTCATTATTTTATATTTGAAAAACCCAAGCCCAAAAGAGGTTTAAATAATCACAAATCCAACTGCTCACTATTAAAGGTTAAACCAAGTGAAATTCCTGGAAATTACTCATTTTTTTTATTTATAAGCATAGCAGTTTCATATGGTTCAGCCTAATAGATATGGGCCGGTTCTGATTCTAAGCCTGTGTACTTTTCACTGCACCAGACAGCTTCCTCTCTACCAGGATTAGGTATAACCTTCAAATAGAGACAGTCTGTCTGCGTAGTAATAAAACTACCAGTTGGATTAAGGCATCTTGATAATGGATTAGCCAGGGCTTTTGGAGTCTGTAACAGTACTTGGTTCAATTCTGCCTCTGCTGCTTTGCTGGCTGGGTGACCCTGAGCCTTAGTATCGTTTGATAGAATGGAATAATGATTTCCATGTGCAGGGTTACTAAGAGCCAATGAAGAAGGTATATAAGTTTTATAACTATTAAAAATAGAGGTCTTCAAAGCATAATAAATAGACCTAGACTTTTCCTTCTCAAAAATTACAATGATGCCTATTTACGACATAAAGTAAAGGTTACAATGTATAAAAATGCAGTGAGTAGTCTGGTGACGGAAGCACAAGCTGCAAGTGTTGTGCCTGCTGTTGGATGGGCCGTGTGGGGGAGGGGAAGAGCTTCTCGTTTATGGCCTTGTTGTGAAAAAATATCTGTGAGAAGCAAATGCAAGAGTGGGAATAAAGTGGTCTTTTAATTTGGAGGTGGCCTGGGCTGACTTGTGTGAGTAGAGGGAATTATAATACTTAATTCAGCAACTATGCATTTATGCCTGCTAGGTCCCAGGCTCTTGGGCAGACAGGGAAGAAAGAGAGTGAGCAACACCAAGACTGAGAGTGGCCTTTGCTGTGAAAAGATGGGGTAAGCAGTCGATGGACTAGCAGAATACTGGTCATGGCAGAGCCACTACTACTATTTTTACTACCTCCAGCTAATAATTCCAGCGGGCTTACTGAAGTGCAGCGGGTCAGGTACTGTTCTAAGCACTTGATATGGATTAACACATTTAATCCTCACAGTAACCGGGGGAGGTAAGCACCACTGCTATCCACACTTTACAGGTAGGGAAATAGCAGCACAGAAAGATTAAGTAAATTGCCCAGTATCATGGAGCAGGTACATACTGGAACTGGGATGAAGAACAGAAGGTAACTTATTCAGCAGAGAGGTGGCCTGGTGAAGAAAGACGGGTCTGGTTATGGCATATAGGGCAATGATGAGAGCAATAATAACAGCTGCAATATGAGAACATCTACTGTGTGTCAGACATTAATCTTTTTTCTTAATTTTGTTAATTTTTCAATTACAGTCTACATTTATTAGTATTCTGTATTAGTTTCAGGTGTACAGCATAGGGGTAAGACAATGGTATACTTTACAAAATGGTTCCCCTGATATTTCTGGTACCCACCTGGCCCCACACATAGTTATTACAATATTATTGACTGTATTTCCTATGCTGTACTTGACATCCCCGAGACTACCAATCTGTACTCCCTAATCCCTTCACCTTTCTCACACAGCCCCCGACCCCCCTCCCCTTTGGCAACCATCAGTCCGTCCTCTGGATCTATGAGTTTGTTTTTATCTTGTTTGTGTATTTTGTTCTTTGCAATCCACGTATAAGTGAAATTATATAGTATCTGTCAGACATTAATCTTTCCAGATTAGAGCTAATTTTTACAGGTCAGAAAATGGAACCTGCAAGAGGTATATTTGTTTTCCTAAAGTCACACCATTAGTAAGAAGTGGTACTGGGATGTTAATGCAGGTCTGGGTGACTCCATTGCCACCTCTCAGATGGACAGTGTTGACGAGGAGGCTGGAGGGGCATCGAAAGGACCTGAGAAAGTGAGTGGCATGGGAGTGAAGTGATGAGACGCAGTTAGTGGGGATGGACGGAGGCTCTGCTCTGAGGGATCCTGGAAGGAACAGTAGATAACATGGGTTAACTATTCACTAAAGGTAGAGAAGGAAATCCAGATGTAAGCGCATTTTTTAACATGTTGTGTGTGAGAGTTTAACATGGTGATGCTGATGAGGAATAAATTTCTGTGGATATAATTAAGGTTCGGTTTGAGATGACAGAGATTTTGTAGTGAATAAAGGTCTATTATTAGTCAGGGGTTTTCTACTCTCCAACTATGGACTGGTTCCATCAGAGTTAACTGGAGCGCTTACTGAAAATTCAGATTTCTTGGCTTGAGGCCCAAAGATTTTGATTCTGTGAAATAGTACTACTTGAGTGAGGCCTTAGAATCTGTATCCTTAAGACATTCCCCCAAACTACTCAGATGATCAGTGGGTTTGGGAACCAGTTAATCAAGGTTGAAACAGTGAAAATGAAAATCCCTCCTAGGCCTCAGATATAATGGGAGAAGGGCAGATAATAAAGGATTTGCCTTGGGGAATGCCCAGAGATCAAGGGGGAAGGGGGAACATCCTGTCAGTGAAGGGACAGTAAAAGAAGCAGGCAAGAATGTAACAGGAGAACCCAAGTAACAGCTCACCCAGAAGTCGAGGATGGAATGTTTCAAGGAAGGAGGGATTAGAAGCATCAAATAAAGCAGAATGGTTTGTAAGAATACATACATCGGGAGGAGAGGAAGACTGTGTTGGCCACAAGGGGTCACTGAACAGAGGTTCCAAGATTTCTGCTCAGGCCCTGCCCAGTGATACGAAACCATGTCCCTTCTGAAACCTTTGTTTTACAGGGAATTGGGGACAAGAAAGTAAACTGCAGAGTGAAGAAAAAGCAGGTACTAGCTGCCATGGCTCTCAGAAACTCTTCCAGCAAAAAGGTGAAATAATAGGTAACAGGTAGAGGACGCTGCATCTAAGATGATCTTTTCTAAATTCAGTATTTGGCACACTTACTGATGGTTGAAGTCAGTAGGAGGAGAGCGCTGGTGGAGATGGGTTAATAGTGAAGTTTTAGATTTGTTTGCTCGGAAGATGTGCAGAGCCAGAAGGGAAACTGAGCTAGAATAGAAAAGGAAGAGCTAATTTTAAAGAGGAGAGGGATCTTCATTAGAAATTTAAGGGAATAGTGTGTGATTATAGGTCCCCATTTCAAGTCTTTCTTGCAAGAAAAAAAAAATATGTGTGTGTATGTATGTGTATATATATATATGTGTGTGGGTGGGTGGGTGTATTTCTTAATTATTGAAGTTTTCAGAATGGCTTGTCTCTGATAATGAAATAACAAAACAAAATTTTATTTGTCTAAATTAATAGAAAAGTTTTGGATTCCCATATGATATATTAATCACTAGTCACTTTCAATAATTTTATTCTAAAGTCCTGAGGTATTATTTGGAAGGTCCTTTTTTAAATATGTTTTTTTTTAATTGATTTTTTAGAGAGAAGGAAGGGAGAGAGAGATAGAAACATTGATATGAGAGGGAAACATCAGTGGGTTGTCTTCTGCACGCCCCCTACTGGGGATCAAACCTGCAGTCTGAGCATGTGCCCTGACCGAGAATCAAACTGGGACCTCTCAGTCCATGGGTTGACGCTCAATCCACGGAGCCACGCTGGCCTAGCATGAAGACCCTTTTTTATATAGTGGGTTTTTATTTCAGTGGACTATATACAAAGGATGACTTTCTTGTTGAGGTTCCTCCCCCCCTTTAAAGAGCAGTCGGTTATCTCCAATGTTTCAAAATGTCCTGGCAATTCAGGTTAAAATGCAATTAAACCAAGGGAATGTGGTTTTTTCTAGAGATGATTTTAGAGAAAATTAGGAGAGGCATTTTACCTCTGGCTACTCCCTCTCCCCACTCCATTGTAACTTTAGCTCTTCTACCCATTTTTAGAGCCTGAGGACTCCTAGGAGTTATCATCTGACTCCTTAGCTGTCCCGACCCCAGAAGTGATACCTCGTTCTCTGAAGCTTTGCAATCCCATACAGCTAGCTAACAAGTGGCTCTTCCCTCTGTCTCATTTCCTCCCCAGACCTCTAGCTCATCTAATGAGAGAATATGTGCAAATGTGTTTCAATGTCATCTTCCCCAAGAAAGGTGCATTTTAAATATAAAGAATCTTGATGCGAGCCAATGGTTTTAAAGTGGGTACATTAGACATGAAGTATACTTTGAAAAAAAATGTGGCCTTTTCAGATTTCTATCAAATGTCTGGGTTATACTTTCATTCAGGATGGAGAGTCAGATGTAAAATGTGAGTTCTCCAATATGTCTCAAGCTGAGGACAGTTTTTTTAAATGAAATCAATAAAAACCTGTTTTGTTTTGTTTTTTAATTTTCAGTAGCAGAGTGCATGAGTTAACATAACGTAGGAGACGAAATGTTTTTCCTGATGTTCTCTTCACCTTTTTTAAAGCCATGGAAAATGTTTTAAACATGAAAACTGTGTTTATTTTATGTAATTCTTTTTTCTTACAGCTGGAGAAGAAAGCCTTGATCAAACGAGATACCTGAATGACAACCTGGTAGATTGGTGAATATACACCCAATTGCATACAGTACAGTTCTGCCCTTGTTGAAGACATGAACCATGTAAATAAAACTCGTGGACCCTTTGTACTTCATTTGCAGTCTTAGGAATATGCACAACTAGTTTTATTCTTCTAGGAGCAAAAGTAAGGTGGAGTTCTTAGCTGAGAATAGCACTGCCTTTTTTTATTTTTTAAATTTTTTTTATTGCTTCAAGTCCTGTTTAGATTACCTTCTGTCTTATTCTTGAATTTTTTTTAGTGCATTTACAATGATAAGACTGAAGACTCTTTACAGCATTCTTTTTGTTACAGCAAATACCCATCTTGATCTAATAATTATTAGTTGTTGGTTTTCTCATCTTGTCATCCACTTGTATTGTGTTGTCCCTCAGCGGGGACTCTCCATCTCCTTTCCCCCCTTTTCCCACCTCCAAGGAGGGTGAAGGGGAGAACATGGCAGGATGAGAAAGAGTAGAGTGTGATTCTCTTAGCAATTCATCCAGAAGAAAGTTATGACTGGAAGGGGGAAGGGGTGGACAGGGAGGAAGCCCTGTGATTAGAACACTTCAGTGCTGGAGCTGAGAAAGGGCCCTTTGGGGAAGCTTGGAGCTCCCCCTTGTGATCTCGGATCTCCCTGAATTCAGTTTAGAAACATGGATCTAAGAGTTACTGGGAAATAAGCAGATGAGACACACGTTGCTCCTCTGTACGCTGTCCAAAAAGAACAAACCAGTTTTTTAAAGGTAACACATTCTTCATGGCTAAACAGACTGCATATTTTATTGGCTAGAACTCTAGATTTTATTTGACATCAAAACACTATATCAAGGCACCCTGATAACATAAGTGCATGGTAATAGGCCTAATTTACTCCTTTTTAAAGTCAACGTGTGTTCAGTGCTATCTGAAAAATACACACACACACACACACACATACCTACAAGTATAATATATTTATTTTTAATTACAATATGATCGTCATGTAAATTATTTTTGACCTAGTTAATTGAAAGTTGTTATTGATAAATGTCATCAGTATAAAATATTGTTCATTCTTATTGTCATCAGTATGTAGCCGTTATTCAGTAGCTAAAGAAAATACTTATGTGAATGTATCTGTAACTTGGAATTACAGTTTGACTGTGTTAATTAATTAAAACCCTGCTTATAAGGTTTGTCTGTAACTTGTTTCATACTTAAATAATGAAACTATATTCAAGTTAATGTAACATTGATCTATGCCAAAAATATGCTACCATTAAAAAAATCTATGTGGCATTATAAAAGGAACCTGTCATTAATTATGATTTGATTTTAAAATGGATATTCTAGACAGTGCATATATCCAGTTTATTGGTAATTATTTACTTATCTGACACCAACTTGTACATATTGGCTATTTAAATATTATGTCTATTCCCAGAACACTTTTTAAAAACATGTTTATTGATTTTTAGAGAAAGGAATAGAGAGAGAGAAACAGCAATGTGAGAGAAAAACATTAATCAGTTACCTCCCATATGAGCCCCAACCAGGGATTTGGAAGCTGAACCCACAACTTAGGTATGTGCCCTGACCGGGAATTGAACCCACAACCTTTCATTGTCTGGGACGACACTCCAACCAACTGAGCTATACCAGCCAGGATTATTCCCGGAACACTTTTAAAATCTATCTTATGAAGTAATTCTTCCAATAGTGAACTAGACCGATCTCAAGTATTTCACCCCAAAACAGAGTTTTTAAAAGCTGTCTAAATGACCAGTAGCTGTTAAAATAACATCAGTTCCATGGACTATAAGTGCATGAGTTCCCTGAATGCTCTTCTGCTGTCCAGATATGCTAATTAACAGTCGTAGCACAAAGACCCCTATGTCCAGTTTGCTATAACTTTCTGCCTCTCTTAAGGTGTCTTTGCAATTCTCTTTATGTTTGTTTTTTTCAACAGTGAAATGAACAGATGATCGGTGATCCATATTTTTCGCATTGTGTGGCTTGGATTTGAAAATGGGGAAACATCTGCCTCCCACGCATTCCTTGAACTAGAATACCCCCACCTCCAGATTGGACTTGCAGCCACTTTTAGCACAGTGCCCTGCTCTTCCCCTCTTCGCCTCTCTATCCTACCTCCCCTGTGGCTATCTGTGGCATTGTTTATATATATATATATCCTGCAGTGTGGGTTCTCAATTATGCTTTGTTTCCCTGAATTTCCCCAGACGCTACCTCCTGTCCTCCCACACCACCATTGTGATCATGAGAGAAGGTGAAGAGGCCCTGACATTAAAATAAGCCTCCAATTCACTTTATTTCTAAAACCTGGGTATGAGAAATAAAAGTCTACATCCTATCAACCTTGAGTTACATTATTTTACTGCGGCTTCAGGAGAAAGGGAGTTGAGAATGTAACCTGTTGGTCTCCTGCTTCTGGACTAAAAGGTCCTTCAGCAAGAGTTCATTTCTCATTTGATTTGGTCCTTAGAACCACCATGTGAAGTGAGCAGTTGGCTCTCCCACGTTACTCCATAGAAAGCTAGGCTCATCCTATGAAGCCTCGTGGAGGCTCCCCAGTGTACTCTTGACCGGTTCCTTTGCTTAGTCCTCCTTGTGCCCTGGAAAACTATTAGTATTGCACTTGTAACATTTTATACTCTCATCTATGTGAGAAACTAGCTCTCTTACAATCCTAAATCTCACTGTGGAAGGAAGTGTGGTATGATGCATAAAAAACGTCTTGCTGTCGCTGGTCAAGCACACACAAACTCTTTTCTATAGTTCCTGTCCTCCACCTTTGACTACATACAATCTTTTTTTTTTTTTTTTTTTTTATCCTCACCCAAGGACATTTTTCCATTTTTTGTTCAGATAGAGTGGGAGGGAAAGAGAGACAGAGAAACATCAACGTGAAAGGGACACATCGAGTGGTCACCACCCACACGACCCAACCAGGGCTGGGGACAAACTGCAACTGAGGTTTGTGCCCTTAGCGGGAACCGAACCCGGGACTCTCTGGACCGCAGGCCAACGCTCTAACCGCTGAGCCAAACCAGCCAGGCCCATACAATCTTTAAAAGCAACATTTTTGTACCTCTATTTCTCCCAATAAGAATATTCATTTATGCATCTACTGTTTATTAGGCACTGTGCTATCTAAAAGTCCTGTTGGTTCCTCCTCACCTCCTCACCGGGCTTTGTCAATCTGGCAGAAAGGACAAAAATGACTGGGGCAAGGGGGTGGAGTCAAGTGGCAGCAGCTCTCTGAATAGGAGACCAGGTGTAGGGTAGAAAGAATACATACAGTGTGTTGCTTTACCAGGGATCCATTTTTATGGTTATTGCAATAGTGAAACTTCTTTCTATCAAGAGATCTTTCTGGTACTTCAGCAAAAGAGATAATACAAATCCATATCATATTTTTTTCTGCTTTTCAGTGCAGAACTTTCCAAGCTGCCCTGGGTTAATTAACATCCATGGGGCATTATTCAACGATTGGGCTTTAGGTAATCTATTTCCCTTCTTCCTGAACCTCTATAACCATCTTCCATTTGAGCCTGACTTGTTGTGTGTACCCACTGTTCTTCTACTTTTTCCTAATACTGGGGCAATAGGAGAGCTGGATTATGGTTTTTAGCTGGTCTTGAACTATCAGACATACCATCATTATTACTCTTCCTTGTTGCTACCAACAGTACAGCACTGAGGAGACCGGACTGTTTTAGAGCCTCTGTTGACCTAGATCAAATGATATGCCAACCAAGGCGTTCACTGTGAGCTAAATAATATTCAGTAATAGTACTCTGTTGTAAAAAAACAAGAGTGAGTGCGGATTTGTTTTGTTTTTGCCAATTTAGATTTAATTACATTTGAAACAAAGATGCTTAGTTACATTCAACAATGTCTCTAAGCACATCATCAAAATGTTAGAGACACTGTCATTATAAAGTAGATTATAAATTTTATTTCTGCTTTTCTTTTTAAAAAGTAATTTTTAAATTTTGTCTTTCATAAGGTGCAATTACATAGCAGGTGCTCTACATGTTATTTAAATATCTAAAAGAATTTGAAACAAGACATTACCAATTAAAGTTAAATCTTTAAATTTTGATATATTTATTCATTTGGATTTGACAATTTATCATCTGTAGATGATTGACCAAGTTTTTAAATAGGCTTTCCTTTTCCACAATAAATAATTGTTACAGGCAGATGCTACAGTACAGATGGTAACATCTTCCTGTCATTAATTTGAGAAGTAACCTTGAAAATATGCACAAATATGCATCAACATCTGGACTGAGGATAACTATTTTATTATGGAATTTTATTACCTTCAAAGCTAGACATAAATTTATATTTCTGGCTTGTGAAAAATGAAAAGAATCATTAAAGACCGAGTTATTTAAAACATGTAGGTAGTGCACGTTCATGGCTAAGAACAGGATCTTTTTCAGGGGGTGGGAGAATGGGAGACTTGTTTGATAGGTACAGAAGCTTTATAAATAACAAGCAAAGGATTATGGTGATGATAATTTAAAAAAACACTAGTAAAAATTATTATTGCTTAAATTAACCATTTAAAAAACACTTCCAGCCCTGGCCGGTTTGGCTCAGCGGTTAAGAGCATCGGCCTGTGGTCCAGAGAGACCCGGGTTCCTTCCCGCTAAGGGCACGTACCTCAGTTGCAGTTTGTCCCCGGCCCTGGTTGGGTTGTGCGGGTGGCAACCACTCGATGTGTCCCTTTCACGGCGATGTTTCTCTCTCTCTCTCTCTCTCTTCCTCCCACTCTATCTGAACAAAAAATGTCCTCAGGTGAGGATAAAAAAAGAAACAAAAAACACTTCCAGCCTTCCTCCTCTAATTAACACTCTCCCTCATACTAAATTTACTGGGGGAAGAGGAGTTGAAGAAAATAACTTGGATTTTATTTTAAGTTATAAAATTGCTATTCACTTAATCTCCAGTTTTTAGGCAGAGAATAAATCCCATTGTGGTCCCTAGAAGAAGAAAATGAAGTTGGTGGCGTTTTTAATTCTTTAAATAACCACTCCTACTATGCTCTGTGCTGTCACTAAATTAGCTCTGTTCAACAAGTGTGGAGTTCAGTTCTTATATTCACCATGCAGCTTTTTCTTCCCATGTGGAACATGACCCAGAGAAAATGGTGACTTAATATTTAACCGATCCCTTTCCGCCTCCTCTTCCTCATCATATCTCTCATCCTCATCTTCGTCTTCCACATCACTGCTCTGAGGACTGGAGACCTGAGATCCTGAAGGAGAAGGAGGGACTGAAGACGGTCTGGGGTATTTAAATCCCTCTGTCTGCCAAAGACACAAGTAAGGCACAAACGTTATAATAACTTCTCAATTTTCCAATACATTTGTAAACATTTTGCGTGTGCATTTTATAAAAACATAGTTGGATTTTTTTTTCTTTTATATTTTTGTTTGTTTCTGCTTGAAGCCCAGGCTTCAGAACGCCTCAGCTATTTTATTTTATTTTTGTTGATCCTCATCCGAAAATAGTTTTTCATTAATTTTTTAGATAGAGTGGAAGGGAGGGAGGGAGGGAGAGAGACAAAGAAAGAGAGAGAGAGAAACAATGATGACAGTGAGACACAGGGATTGGCTGCCTCCCACATGACCTTGATCAAATCTGCAACCCAGGTACATGCCCTTGACAGGGACTCGAACCCAAGGCCCTTTGGTCTGTGGCTGACGCTCTAACCACTGAGCAAAATTGGTCAGGGCCATAGTTAGATATTTCCTGTGGTCTGTTCAGGAGCTAGTACTTTTGATTCACTCTGACTCTGGTACTAACAAGTTCAAGAGAGATCTGTTAAATAAATAGCTTTATTTTACTAAGCATTGACATGTGCCAAGTACTACCTATATGTGATCTTATTTCATCTTTGTAACACCACTC